CCGCTTTCCATCACCCCGCCCCATTCTCCCGCTTTCCATCACCCCGCCAATTCTCCCACTTTCCATCACCCCGCTCCATTCTCCCGCTTTCCATCACCCCGCCAAGTCCCTCTTCCATTACCCCGCCCCATTCTCTCGCTTTCCATCACCCCGCCCCATTCTCCCGCTTTCCATCACCCGTCCCATTCTCCCTCTTTCCATCACCCCGCCCCATTCTCCGCTTTCCATCACCCGCCCCATTCTCCCTCTTTCCATCACCCCGCTCCATTCTCCTGCTTTCCATCACCCCGCCCCATTCTCCCGCTTTCCATCCCCGCCCCATTCTCCCGCTTTCCATCACCCGCCCCATTCTCCCGCTTTCCATCACCCCGCCCCATTCTCCCTCTTTCCATCACCCCGCCCCATTCTCCCTCTTTCCATCACCCCTCCCTGTTCTCCCGCTTTCCATCACCCCGCCCTATTCTCCGTCTTTCCATCACCCCGCCCCAGTCTCCCACTTTCAATCACCCCGCCCCATTCTCCCGCTTTCCATCACCCCGCCCCATTCTCCCCCTTTCCATCACCCCGCCCCATTCTCCCACTTTCCATCACCCCGCCCCATTCTCCCGATTTCCATCACCCCTCCCCATTGTCCCACTTTCCATCACCCCGCCCCATTCTCCCTCTTTGCATCAGCCCGCCCCATTCTCCCTCTTTCCATCACCCCGCCCCATTCTCCCGCTTTCCATCACCCCGCCCCATTCTCCCGCTTTCCATCACCCCGCCCCATTCTCCCGCTTTCCATCACCCCGCTCCATTCTACCGCTTTCCATCACCCCGCCCAATTCTCCCTCTTCCCATTACCCCTCCCCATTCTCCCTCTTTCCATCACCCCGCCCCATTCTCCGGCTTTCCATCACCCCGCCCCATTCTCCCGCTTTCCATCACCCCGCCCCATTCTCCCTCTTTCCATCACCCCGCCCCATTCACCCTCTTTCCATCACTCCGCCCCATTCTCCCGCCTTCCATCACCCCGCCCCATTCTCCCTCTTTCCATCACCCCGCTCCATTCTCCCGCTTTCCATCACCCCGCCCCATTCTTCCGCTTTCCATCACCCCGCTCCATTCTCCCGCTTTCCATCACCCCGCCCCATTCTCCCGCTTTCCATTTCCCCGCCCCATTCTCCCTCTTTCCATCACCCCGCCCCGTTCTCCCGCTTTCCATCACCACGCCCCATTCTCCCTCTTTCCATCACCTCGCCCCATTCTCCCTCCTTCCATCACCCCGTCCCATTCTCCCGCTTTCCATCACCCCGCTCCATTCTCCCGCTTTCCATCACCCCTGGACTAGTCAAGCTCTTGGATCAGGCATGCTTCTGGACCAAGCAAGCTCCTCGACCGGGCAAGCTCCTGGACCACGCAATCTCTTGTTCCAGGTACGCTCCTCGACTAGGCAAGCTCTTGGACCAGGCAGGCTTCTGGACCAAGCAAGCTCCTGGACTAGGCAAGGTCCTGGACCAGGCACGCTCCTGGACCAGGCAAGCTCCTAGACCAGGCAAGCTACTGGACCAGGAAAGCTCTTGGACCGGGCAAGCTCCTGGACCACGCAAGATTTTAGACCAGGCATGCTCCTAGACCAGGCAAGCTCTTGGACGAGGCAAGCTCCTGGACCAGGCAGGCTCGTGGACCAGGCACGCTCCTGGACCAGGCAAGCTCCTGGACCAGGCAAGCTCCTGGACCAGGCAAGCTCTTGGACCATGCACGCTCCTGGACCAGGCAAGCTCCTAGACCCGGCAAGCTCCTGAACCAGGCAAGCTTCTGGACCAGGCAAGATCCTGGACCAGGCAAGCTCCTAGACCAGGCACGCTCGTGGACCAGGCAAGCTCTTGGACCAGGCAAGCTCCTGGACCATGCAAGCTCTTGGACCTGGCAAGCTCTTGGACCAGGCAAGCTCCCGGACAAGGCAAGCTCCTAGACCAGGCAAGCTCGTGGACCACACACGCACCTTGACCAGGCAAGCTCCTAGACCAGGCAAGCTCCTAGACCAGGCGAGCCCCTAGACCAGGCAAGCTCCTGCACCAGGCAAGCTCCTGGACCAGGCAAGCTCTTGGACCAGGCAAGCTCCTGGGCCAGGCACGCTCGCGGACCAGGCACGCTCTTGGACCAGGCAAGCTCTTGGACCAGGCAAGCTCGTGGACCAGGCACGCTCCTGGACCAGGCAAGCTCCTGGACAAGGCAAGCTCGTGGACCAGGCACGCTCCTTGACCAGGCAAGCTCCTGGACCAGGCAAGCTCTTGGACGAGGAAATCTCGTGGACCAGGCAAGCTCTTGGACCAGGCAAGCTCCTGGACCAAGCAAGCTCCTGGACTAGGCAAGCTCTTGGACCATGCGAGCTCCTGGACCAGGAAAGCTCCTAGACCAGGCATGCTCCTGGACCAGGTAAGCTCTTGAACCTGGAAAGCTCCTGGACGAGGCAAGCTCCTAGATAAGGCAACCTTCTAGACTAGGCAAGCTCTTGGAGCGGGCACGCTCCTGGACCAGGCAAGCTCTTGGACCGGGCAAGCTCCTGGACCAGGCAAGCTTCTGGAACATGCAAGCTCGTGGACCAGGCAAGCTCCTGGACCAGTCAAGCTCTTGGACCACGCATGCTCCTGGACCAGGCGAGCTCCTGGACCAGGCAAGCTCCAGGACCAAGCAAGCTCTTTGACTTAGCAAGCTCTTGGACCAGGCACGCTCCTGGAACGGGCAAGCTCCTTGACCAGGCAAGCTCTTAGACCAGGCAAGCTCTTGGACCAGGCAGGCTCGTAGACTAGGCACGCTCCTGGACCAGGCAAGCTTCTGGACAAGGCAAGCTCCTGGACCAGGCAAGCTCCTGGACCTGGCACGCTCCTGGACCAGGCAAGCTCCTAGACTAGGCAAGCTCCTGGACCAGGCAAGCTCCTAGACCAGGCAAACTCGTGGACGAGGCACGCAACTGGACCAGGCAAGATCCTGGACCAGGTAAGCTCCTAGACCAGGCACGCTCCTGGACCAGGCAAGCTTCTGGACCAGGCAAGCTCCAGGACCACGCAAGCTCTTGGACCAGGCAAGCTCTTAGACCAGGCAAGCTCTTGGACCAGGCAAGCTCCTAGACCAGGCAAGCTCGTGGACCACGCACGCTCCTGGACCAGGCAAGCTCCTGGACCAGGCAAGCTCATGGACCAGGCAAGCTCCTGGACCAGGTAAGCTCCTGGACCAGGCAAGCTCCTGGACCAGGCAAGCTCCTGGACCAGGCAAGCTCATGGACCAGGCAAGCTCCTAGACCAGGCAAGCTCATGGACCAGGCAAGCTCCTCGACTAGGCAAGCTCCTGGATCGGGCAAGCTCCTGGACCACGCAAGCTTGTGGACTAGGCACGCTCGTGCACCAGGCAAGCTTGTGGACCAGGCACGCTCCTAGACCACGCAAGCTCCTGAACCAAGCAAGCTCTTGGACCACGCGAGCTGTTGGACCAGGCACGCTCATGGACCAGGCAAGCTCTTGGACCACGCAAGCTCCTGGGCCAGGCACGCTCCTCGACCAGTCAAGCTCTTGGACCAGGCAGGCTTCTGGACCATGCAAGCTCTTGGACCAGCCAAGCTCGTGGACCACACAAGCTCTAGGACCAGGCACGCTTCTTGACCAAGCAAGCTCCTGGACCAGGCTAGTTCGTGGACCACGCAAGCTCTTGGACCAGGCATGCTCCTCGACCAGTCAAGCTCTTGGACCAGGTAGGCTTCTGGACCAAGCAAGCTCCTGGACCAGGCAAGCTCCTAGACCATGCACGCTCCTGGCCCTTGCAAGCTCCTGGACCAGGCAAGCTCCTCGACCAGGCAAGCTCCTGGACCAGGCAAGCTCCTCGACCAGGAAAGCTCCTGGAACAGGCAAGCTCCTGGGCCAGGCACGCTCGTGGACCAGGCACACTCTTGGACCAGGCAAGCTCTTGGACCAGGCAGGCTCATGGACCAGGCAAGCTCCTGGACAAGGCAAGCTCCTGGACAACGCAAGCTCCTGGACCAGGCACGCTCCTAGACCAGGCAAGCTCCTGGACCAGGCAAGCTCTTGGACCAGGAAATCTCGTGGACCAGGCAAGCTCTTGGATCAGGCAAGCTCCTGGACCAGGCAAGCTCCTGGACTAGGTGAGCTCTTCGACCAGGCAAGCTCTTGGACCAGGCAAGCTCCACGACCAAGCAAGCTCCTAGAACAGGCAAGCTTCTAGACCAGGCAAGCTCTTGGAGCAGGCACGCTCCTAGACCAGGCAAGCTCTTGGACCAGGCAAGCTCCTGGACCAGGCAAGCTTCTGGAACATGCGAGCTCGTGGACCAGGCAAGCTCGTTGACCAAGCAAGCTCTTGGACCACGCATGCTCCTGGACCAGGCAAGCTCCTGGACTTGGCAAGCTCTTGGACTAGGCACGCTCCTGGAAGGGGCAAGCTCCTGGACCAGGCAAGCTCTTAGACCAGGCAAGCTCTTGGACCAGGCAGGCTCGTGGACCAGGCACGCTCCTGGACTAGGCAAGCTCCTGGACAAGGCAAGCTCCTGGACCAGGCAAGCTCCTGGACCAGGCACGCTCCTGGAACAGGCAAGCTCCTAGACCAGGCAAGCTGCTAGACTAGGCAAGCTCCTGGACCAGGCAAACTCGTGGACCAGGCACGCTCCTGGACTAGGCAAGACTTTGGACCAAGCATGCTCCTAGACCAGGCAAGCTCCTAGACCATGCAAGCTCCTGGACCAGGCAAGCTCATGGACAAGGCAAGCTCCTGGACCAGGCAAGCTCCTGGATCAGGTAAGCTCCTGGACCAGGCAAGCTCTTGGACCAGGCACGCTCCTGGACCAGGCAAGCTCCTAGACCAGGCAAGCTCCTGGACGAGGTAAGCTTCTGGACCAGGCAAACTCGTGGACCAGGCACGCTCCTGGACCAGGCAAGATCCTGGACCAGGCAAGCTCCTAGACCAGGCGCGCTCCTGGACCAGGCAAGCTCCCCGACCAGGCAAGCTCCTGGACCACGCAAGCTCTTGGACCAGGCAAGCTCTTGGACCAGGCAAGCTCCTGGACAAGGCAAGCTCCTAGACCAGGCAAGCTCGTGGACCAGGCATGCTCTTGGACCAGGCAAGCTCCTGGACTAGGCAAGCTCATGGACGAGGCAAGCTCCTAGACCAAGCAAGCTCCTGGACTAGGCAAGCTCCTAGACCAGGCAAGCTCATGGAGAAGGCAAGCTCCTAGACCAGGCAAACTCGTACACCAGGCACGCTCCTGGACCAGGCAAGATTTTGGACCAGGCATGCTCCTAGACCACGCAAGCTCCTGGACCAGGCAAGCTCTTGGACCATGCACGCTCCTGGACCAGGCAAGCTCCTAGACCAGGCAAGCTCCTGAACCAGGCCAGCTTCTGGACCAGGCAAACTCGTGGACCAGGCACGCTCCTGGACCAGGCAAGATCCTGGACCAGGCAAGCTCCTAGACCAGGCACGCTCCTGGACCAGGCAAGCTCTTGGACTAAGCAAGCTGCTGGACCACGCAAGATCTTGGACCAGGCAAGCTCTTGGACCAGGCAAGCTCCTGGACAAGGCATGCTCCTAGACCAGGCAAGCTCGTGGACCACGCACGCTCCTGGACCAGGCAAGCTCTTGGACTAGGCAAGCTCCTGGACCACGCAAGCTCCTAGACCAGGCAAGCTCTTGGACCAGGCAAGCTCCTAGATCAGGCAAGCTCATGGACAAGGCAAGCTCCTGGACCAGGCAAACTCGTGGACCAGGCACGCTCCAGGACCAGGCAAGATTTTGGACCAGGCATGCTCCTAGACCAGGCAAGCTCCTGGACCAGGCAAGCTCCTGAACCAAGGCTCGTGGACCAGGCAAGCTCCTGGACCAGGCAAGCTCCTAGACCAGGCAAGCTCGTGGACCAGGCACGCTCCTGGACCAGGCAAGCTCTTGGACCAGGCAAGCTCCTGGACCAGGCAAGCTCCTAGACCAGGCAAGCTCCTGGACCAGGCAAGCTCCTGGATCAGGCAAGCTCCTGGACCAGGCAAGCTCCTAGACCAGGCAAGCTCCTGGACCAGGCAAGCTCGTGGACCAGGCACGCTCCTGGACCAGGCAAGCTCCTGGACCAGGCAAGATTTTGGACCAGGAATGCTCCTAGACCAGGCAAGCTCCTGGACCAGGCAAGCTCCTGAACCAAGGCTCGTGGACCAGGCAAGCTCCTGGACCAGGCAAGCTCCTAGACCAGGCAAGATTTTGGACCAGGCATGCTCCTAGACCACGCAAGCTCCTGGACCAGGCAAGCTCTTGGACTAGGCACGATCCTGGACGAGGCAAAATCCTAGACCAGGCAAGCTT